ATCATATGTGCTACCAAAGCTTCCAAAACTGTCTGACTTTGGTCCTTGAAGAGAAAAATTATCACTCATCATTAACTGATTAACTTTAATTCCCTACAAAATGTTCATCAGCTTTCTGCAATAAGCTGGAGAATGAAGGTTCTCTGGAAGGAAAAGAAACATTAACTGCATCTCCCCCACATAAATGTATACTGTGTTTGGCTTTATTATTAGAGTGAGATAAAAAAAATATCAGAAACATCAGTCAAATCATAACTACTTCCTCTGTCCTGACAGAACTCTCAAGAAGTTTCACCACATCCAGAGTGTGAAGATGAGTGTAGGAATTCTTTACTGAACACAAATAATTGCCAGCCTGCCAAGATCTGTCTAGTTTGTTCAAAGGCCAGACAGACTGTTCTAGCAAAGCTTATTAGGACTACTACCCTGCCTCCAATCACTTAATCAGTGATGAGGATTCCAAGTATCATCTCTCAGCCCATAGTGTTTGATATTTACTTCAGATGAAGATTTGGATAATTGCAATGGTCCCAATTCTAATATATCCAATTAAAACTATACTAAAAAAATGTTTCATCAACATTAGTCTCAGACCAGAAACAGCAAAGTTCTATTCTTTCAATTGCACATGGAGTCAAAGTCTACTCTGTACTCTTTCTTCCTACCTAGACTCTTCTTGACCACTGAAACCTCCCACCATAGCCAACCACTTTGCCTCCCCCTCTGCTGTTCCAGCAGCTTCCCTTCCTCTTCTCTTATTGCCTTCTTCCTCCTTTCTAATTAGTATCATACATTTTCTACTAATTTCCAGTATCTCAAAAATCTGTGCTCACTGTCCTTGACCTTTCCATTTTAAATATTGTTTTATCTTGAATTCCTAGTCGGAGTTGGGCAACATAATCCTGACCTTCAAAACAGTCTTTATGTGTCAACAGCCTTAACTTCATTTGTCCAATTAGATCTATTTGAAGGGATGGGATGAATTAAAGAAGTTATTTCAGTGTCTTTATCTCCATTATCCACTATTATCATTGCTCCTAATGTCTGATATAAATAAATCTAGTAGACTTGCTTAAGTGTGGTAGCTTCTAAAGCTAGGCCCATTTCCAGACTCCCAGAGGTGCCTGGAAATCATGCACAGGAATCCTACCCATTCTCACTGTTGCTTTTAGTTTCTTAGCAGCCATATGTTACATGCTAATGGTCTTTCACTTAAATAGTCAAGAGATATTTTCCTCCCACTAGTTTACCCAGCATGATCTTTACAGGAATAAATGTGCCCACGAATCTACATGTCCTCCCACTTTCTATAAGGGAAGACTTCCCCTACCCATGGTCATTCTAGAGAGTTTAGATAAGAGAACGTGATTTGATCATCAAGGCCAGTAATTCATGAATAAGAACACTGCAAGTTGGAATTCATCATTTCTACCAAACATTCTGATGATAATGTGGACAGAAGTGAGAAACAATTTCTGTTCTCAGGATCAATTAACAGCACCACAGACATCCCCTACTCAAAAACTGGCCACTGATCACTAAGGTCAGTAATTCATAATTAAGAACACTGCAAGTTGGAACTCAGTATTTCTACCATTCTTATGCTGCATCATCTAGAAGTGTATCATTAGCTCCTACATTAATTAACCTGAAGATTCATGAAAGCATGGATCACACAGCGCTCTGCTAGCTCTACAAAATGACCCAAAAGATTACACCACAACTATTTTGCCCAATTTGTAGCTTCTGGCAATGAATGGCTACCAAACACTAGAAATGTACTCTGAATTTATAGATGAAATAAATACAAAGTACACACCAGATTCCCAAGGACTTAATATTAAGAAGGTGAAATTTTTCAATTTATACATTGTACAAATGAAGAAATATTACTTTCGACATACTGAATTCAAACTTTTTAATTAAAATTAACTACTTACCTCCTATAACTTGCTAACACACGGCTCATATATTTTTATTGGGCACAAAATACTATAAATCCTAGTTTCAAATGATGCCTGCCAGGGGTTACAGCTGTAATCAAAGATAAACAAAATATACTTTCAAGCTTTCACCTTGAACCAGGTCAGAAAACCAACTGCTTTCTTCCCTTGCTGCTACTACCAGTGGGTTCCAATTTCATGAGGATGGTTAATTAAGAAGTCGCTGGATCTTGAGGCACATCCTCTTCAGTTTTTATCTCATCGCTCTTCCACATAATACTTCCCTGGGGGATAAATCTGTGCCATCCATGTTCCTGTAATAAGACTCAGGCCTGATAGTTTTCTGCACATGTTTTTGTTTCTTTAACCCCAGAGCAGATCAGCATCCAATTCCCCTTAGAGCATATCAGAAGAAAAATTTCTAGGCATATTGAGTAAAAACTATTCTAAAACGTGTCTTCTGTGTCCACTGCTGAAGTGTGCATTGAATTGCCACTTGCACTTTCTAAACACCAGCAATCGTTCAACTAAGTTGAGCCCCATCATCGTCTTACAGGAGTCAGAGCTGTTTCTCTAGAGCACAGCTTCTCTGCCCCCCTCACTCACTCGCATAGATGAGAGCACAAAAGTCAAGGGGTACGTGATCGCCTTTACACACCGAAGTCATACAGGTTGTTTCGAACCAGATTTTTGTACCGTCCATCACACTGGCTGAAGTTGTACAGACCTATATCCAGCCCTCTTGACCCTTCCCTGCTGGTTCAGTTCCTCACAGTGAATGAGACTTAACTCTGTTCGCCATTTAGCTTAAGTTTATGTTTTCAAGAAAATGATGCCTTAGAAACCAGGGTTGTTCTCAGAATGTCCTAACAGCTCAGGACTGATGTCAATCCACTACACACAGAGAGTTATATAAAAATACACAATAGAAGAAAAAAAGGTTGTTCATTCATTATGTTTCATTTTTCAATGAAAAAAAAAAAAAACCTTTGCTTGAGAAGAGCAGTTTTGGTCTCAAAGACTTTAAAATAAATAGTCCAGAATGAATGGTAAGAAATGTAGTCAATGAATTGTTTTGTTAAACATATATTGTAAAATCGTGAAATCTTAGTATTTAATGAACTTTCCAATTTAATATGCCAATATAAGCAAATACTCATGGAGAAAGTTATTTTGTCAATTTTAATGATGTATTTTAAACATGTGGGTTGACATAATTTAAATACTATATTATATTCCAACATTAAATGACCTGCACACATAATTTAAGTTACTGAGATAACATGTTTCCATTCAGGGATGCAAATACCTGCATAATTTATTAAATCCTAAAAATAATAATATATAATTTACATACTAACAAATGAATTTATATACATATCTTTTTAAAGACAGACAATTTCAAAGCATACAATAAATTTGCCATAAAATTGTTTTGGAGGAGTCAAAACATGGCCACATGAATGAACATATTTCCTAAAGTCCTGAAAAAAATGACTTCCATTTTCTTTTTTCTTGCCAAATTACAACAGTAGTCACAGGTAACATGGAAGGAAGCTTTATTTCAAGGTGATTTTAGTTGTCGTATTTTAATTGCTTCCACTCAAATCCAATTGCTTAATGAATCTTAGAATTGAAATGTTTCCAGTAATTATATGCTTTTGTCTTTCAGGTGGAATTGCCTCACCTTCATAATTCTAGAAAACTGCTTCATACATTACTGAGTCAACCTTTCTCATTTTCTCACTTTTTCAATCCATAATTATTTCCATTTCTCACTTTCATATTTTATAATATGCACTTTATTGAGCAGCTACATTTGTAGACCCAATGCAGTTTTCAAGTTGAACCAAATGTTATTATATTTCTTAAACTAATACAAAAAAACTATCATAGAATATTTATACCTATAAAATATATTAATTAGTACCTTTAAACTTCTAGTTTTACTAGTAAAAAAAAAAGACACTTGTTATCAGTAACCATTTATTCTCACATTCTAAAGTATTCATTTATTTTACTATATATTAGTTAATAACATATTTCTCTATCATAAAGATGTTATAATTGTTAATTTTACATTGAATTTTATAGTTTTTAATTAAACGTTTTATGTGTATGTATGTGTGTTTGTGAGTTTATTTGTACCGTGTGCTTGCAGTACCTATGGAAGCCAGAAGAGGGCAGTGAATGGCCCGGGGCCAGAGTTACATGCAGTTATGAGCCACTATGTGGGTGTTGGTTGGGATCCAAACACACATCTGTCAGAGCAGCAAGTACACTTAACCACTAAGCCATTTGGCCAGCCCCAAATTTAGATTTTTTATGTAAATATATGGAAATTTCTCTTTCATTTACCATATTTAGAACTAATAGCATAATTTCAAACATTATTTATGAATTTTAACTTTATAACATGTTTATTATTTACAATTGATCTTAGCCAAAGAGGCAAAAAGCGATAATAAGTTTACTGTTTGAACATGGAGTAAACCTCTTTCAAATTCTATTCATAATTCACCAAACCACAGTATCTGTGAAGTAGCTGTCCACCCATTACAGCATGTTCTTATCTTGCAGCTCTTGCAAACAGGATAGTATAAAATAGAGACACAGTATAAAAGATAACACAAAGCAAGCAGCATTTTCTGATAGGCTGTATCTTCCAAGGAAGTAACTAGAGTTGTAAGAAATAAGTATTAAAAGGTTGTCTCCAGGAGAGAGAAAAACTCAGTCAATGATTCTGGTGTGTATTTCCCTTTTGTTGGGTATTTGTACACTTAAACTCATAATCAAAAAATTCTAAGATACACATATTTAAGAATTTTCATATCTCTATTCAAACTTCATTTAGGAGTGTCATATTAATGAGCATTCCTCCATGAGGTAGCAAGATAAGGACAACCTCAAATCAACTCATCATCATGTGCTTCAGCTATCTGTCCTTCATAGTAAAGCAAACATATGTCATGATAAAGGCTAAGCCGTGATTCTGAAGTCCCGCACTGCATGCCCTGTTTCCTTACTAAAACATCTCCTGGTGTTTTCTATCAACAGGAAGATGAGGTGAGGGAGAGCCGGTTCAGCTTCACAGCTTATGGGATGGGGCCATGTCTGCAAGCAAAAGATGGTGTGCTTCCCAAAGGCCCCAACCACGCTGTCCAGGTCATGCCAAAGAGCCCTGACGAAATGAGGAAGGTCTTCATCGACCGGGCCAAGAAGATTGACACCATCTCCCGAGCCTGCTTTCCACTGGCGTTTCTGATTTTTAACATTTTCTACTGGGTTATCTACAAAATTCTTAGGCATGAAGACATTCATCAGCAGCAGGATTAAGTCTCTGAAAGCATTACAAAAACACTGTAGTCAGAAGGGAGTTTCCCTGCCATCAGAGTGGGTGTGTGTCCGTGTGATATGCAAGTGATAGCCAAGGCATCAAAACAGCACATGGGGAAAGAGTTTATTTTGATTTTCTATGTAACATAATGGGAAAGATTGGTTTTTTTAAGGGATACAAAATACACATTGTGGGGTCCTGTTTCATATTCCCGCAAGATGATCTGTTTCCTCCATAGTGTCAATGTATGTTGTGTATGTTATACTAGCACATACAGTAAATAGGATAACTACTTTGGCATTTCTTGATTTTTAATCCAATTATAGCAAATAATGTGGAATCAAGATTTGCACAGTAAAATTCATGAAACAAGTATAACAAAATGATGAGGACAATAAAAAGTAATAGTTTGAGGTATATAGTATATTTTAAAGTGAAAGTAACAAAATCATTCAGTGGCAAGTTCACTTCAGTTAGAACATAGGAATATTGTATAAACAACATACAGTAACAAAATATTAAATTGGATGATCAAAATAAAAGCCACTGTTTAGGATACTAAATATGTCTCTGTGGAAATTTAAAATAAACATCTTAAGTAATCATGTTATATAAAAATTCTATGTATCTTTGCATCTCTAAGAATGAAGATAAAGATACTGAAGACAGGCTTTGTAAATAAGTGTTACATTCATTTTTAATTAGTGCCAAACACTTAAATTTTTAAGCCAATACAGTTTTTGTTCTTGTTGTTGTTGTTGTTGTTAAATTTAATAGTAGCTTGTCTGGATGTTTGGTGATTTCATGTAATTAAACAAAATTCAATAAGATTTTTCTATTTAGTTTAGAATGAGACTTTAAATATTAATTATACTAAAGTACTTACATTTTGATATAAACAAATTCAAGGAAAAGTAAAAATAGATTCATGAAAGAATTTTAATCAGAACCATTTTCTCATGAAAGTTACATGCGCAGCAAATACCATGGGTTTTAGTCCTAAATGAGTGAAACGGATCAACTGTATCCAGGGAGATTGCTTTAATCTTTATGGGTTAATGAATTCAAAATGTAGTCATTCACAAGTTGTGAGGAATTTAAAAACAATTTTGCTTGGAATTTATCCTTGGCCCATGGCATTATCTCAGCTGCCATGCCCTAGTCTTTCAGTCCCACAGCAGTTACTAGGAGAAAGTGTGTAACAGAATTCTTGGCAAAATTAATCCAAGCTCTGATTCATTTACTCATTTTCTTAATTATGACTGCCATTCATATCATATTTGAAAAACTTTTAGAGTAATTTTAGATATTTTAATTATTGATTAGTCTATAACATTATATAAAGTGAAAACATCAAGAATTTTAAAAAAATCTCAGATGTGTTGTAGAAAAATCAACTATTTTTTAACCAAATGGTACTATTTTCTGACCTTCAACCACTCAGAAAACTCAAAGCAGAAACTGCCATCTAAAACTAAAAACTTTTCAATGTCTCTGTAGTTTGATGAACCCAATAATAGATTTTAAAATTAACTATTTTTAAAAAAAAAAATCATGCTAAGCAGTGTTTGCTAGTAAAAGGCAAAATATCGCTTTTATAAGTAATTTACACAAGGTAAGAACATTGTGTTTGTGATTATATGCAGTCAACAAGTAAAATAGTTTGTTATTGTGTGCTTCCTTTGCTTAAAAAATACACATCTAAAAGTTAAACATACATATCATTCTTTGCCATCTATGACCCAAAACCATGGAAATATATTCATGTATTAAATATTAGAACAAGATATGTTGTTTATGCTGCGAGTTAGCCAGAGGGTTTGAAGTAATGATGAACTACACCCCTTCAATGTTGGCAAAATGTTTGCTTACATTTTTCTGTGCTTTATATATCTTATTTCAAAAGTTTTCTGACATTACTTAAATTGAATAAATCCTGCCAGAAGCAAACAGAAAAAAATAATGATCACAAACACTCATATGCCCCAAGGAAAGCCACAGGTGTGACTAGCCATCATATTTGAGGTCATTAAATGTCTGGGTTTTTTTTTATCTCTAAAGTTGGAAGGTAATATATGAACCATGAGAAAATTTGTTGAGAATGACATTAGTTCTATAAAAATATTGCTATCTCAAAAGTACATATTCTTTATCTTTCCTTATAAATAATTCTTCTTTCTATTACACTTACCCTGTCTTCCAACACAAACACTGAAAACAGCCTTCTCTTATGAGGTAATCCTTACAAGGCAAACAGGAATGAATCAAAGGGGCTTAAAGGAATTTGTACCCTGTAATGAACCAATGAGATATTACAGAACTTTTACAACTGGAATAATAACAACATCCTGAAGTATTTGCCTCCAAAGGCCTCTGTCAAATGAGATTTTTTTTCCCTTAGTACTGAGGATTGGAAGCAGAGGCTGTCAAATGTTAAGGAAAAAATTACTAAGCCCCAACGCGAGCCCAAAGACAGAATCTTTTAAATGAAAATCAGAAAAATATCAATGGTAAGAAATAATATAAATACCATATACACTAACTGCCATTCACTTAAGATGGAACTCCAGTGCAAACTCTCTAAAATACTCTGAATTAGCCATAATTCATATTCATATATTAGAAGCTATGAGGAAAGGTTGTACATGATGTTTATTTTATTTAATATTAAAATGTATGCATTTTAACTTGAAATATTTGGTTCCACAGTACATGTATATGTAATCTGTTTTCTTTTTAGTGTAGATATACACAACTTTTTTTTTCTTTTTTTTTTTCTTCCGGGGTCTAGCCTCGGCTCAGGATCAGGTCCTAAGAAGGGGTGTTGGTGCAAGGAAAAATTTTGACATCCGGGTGATTTGCCCTCAAGTGACCCTGAAAAGCTTGAGCCATCTTTAATTATTCTTCGACAGAGTGTTTTTCTACCAGACTTACATGAACAGCTTTGTAATTGGCTCCAATTTTTGACTTTTAGGAAACACACCATGTTTTACAAAATACATTATAATCATTATAAAACCCGCCATTGTTCTCTTTTATGCTTCCCCAAATATACCTCCTCACCCCTACATAACCTTTTTCTAGACATAGAGTTCAGCATTTTTGCAGGCTTAACTAAATATCAAGCCAGACACATTCTGTTCTCACAGCACTTCTGTCAGATACTTGTGGTTACAAAGTTAAAAAGTGGTGGACATGGGTACAATGCTTTAAGGACAGCAATACTCAAACCCAAACAATCTTTTATGCCTGAAAGATATGTTTTTGTGCAGATTCCTTTTCTATAGGAGGGTCCCATATCTCAATCTCTCTACAAAAGGTAGACTTTGATAAGGCACTGTGCCCATCCTACCATATTTGCTTCTTCCACCAATATAAACTCCTATGTATAGTAAAGAAGGATCCATTCATCCCCCATTTTGCATTGTATTTTTTCCTCTTGTAGCATACCAGATCCTACCAATGATTCTATGCTTGGTATATAGGGAACTTACTCTCAACAGTTGACACTATGAATATTCCTGAGGCATTTTTCCTACTTTGTGTATACATGCCTTACTCTTCTTTCCAGAACTGTAAGACATGGTTAATATTCCAAGTGTTGTTTTTTCATATGTACCTATTACTTCCTGCCACTACAGTTCTATGAGTCTTCTTCTCCACATGGTGTTCCTATCTACCTTTTCCTTAGAAGAAGTATTAAAAGCAAGATCCGTTAATTGTAACTGCCTCTATTGAATCAAAGGGGTTCCCAGGATTAGGAGTTGTAATTAGTAATTCCAGATTTTAAAAAAAAATTAAAAGTGTCAGCCTCTTGCTGATACTAAGAAAAAATTCTAAAAACAAACAAACAAAAAAAACCAAAACAGAATATCCAGTGGAAATGACAGCTACTGTGTGCATGATTAACAAAGTAAAACTAAAAATCACCAAAGGAATCAACAATGTGATAAGAGAAAAAAGAGCCTACAAGCTGCATAAACTCAACAAAGCCCTGTGTTTGCCTCGTGAAGATCCACTGGACAGGCATGCATATGCCGATCAAGACTAGGCTTCATGGCTTCTGACACTTTCCCAGTCACTACAAGATCTAGATCTTTCTTTATGACTTATGGTAGCTATCAGAACCACTGCAGAAATGGGACAGAGATGTTTAACTCCATTTCTATTCTCTCCAAAAGTTTTTCCATAACACATACCCAAAAAGCTAATCCAGCTCTCAGCTGTGCTACACACAGAGAGTATCATGAATGGCTTAAATATTTACCTTATGCCATAATGAATTCTTATTGTATGGATATAGTCTAATAAACTTAATTTTAAACTTTGAATTATAAATGCATGAGAATCCATATATACCTATTACATGATCACATGCATTGATTTTATGAATATCCAGTATCTATATAAGATATTGGAAGTTATGAAAATTGTAAAAAGTAAACTATATTCTTGACAGAAGGTGGTGAGTTCTTAGCTACTCTAATAATTTTGTAACTAAACAGACTATTTGGATATAATTAGGTGTATCTTTCATGTAGTTTTAAAATTTACATTCATCTCATTTTCTGAAATCATCGTCTTCTATTCTCATTGTGATATAACTTAACTGCTAGTTAATTGGAAGAATAGAATATAGTCACTAAATTTCCTTTTATTTATAAAATGTACACTCCATGAAACTGACCTATGAGAATATGAGAGGTAAGAAAAGTAAAATAAGAAATATGTTTAGGGCTGGAGAGATGGCTCAGAGGTTAAGAGCACTGACTGCTCTTCCAGAGGTCCTGAGTTCAATTCCCAGCAACCACATGGTGGCTCACAACCATCTGTAATGAGATCTGGTGCCCTCTTCTGACCTGTAGTCATACATGCTGTATACAAAATAAATAAATAAATCTTTTTAAAAAAAAAGAAATATGTTTAATATCAAAATTTTGAAAATGGAAGCACTCCAATGCAATCCACTCCAAAATAGATTTCACACATTTTACAGCGTATACAACATCATAAACTCTTTAAATTAGTAGCATATGCTCTGTCTTTCTCAGACAAATTGGTCAGTATTTATTGATACTAAAAAGACAAAGACAATAAGACAGTGGACATTTTGATCAGCATATTAGGAACACATTAGTATGATTTCTAACCATGTGGCAATTTAATTTGACAATCAACCCAAGGCAATTATAGTCAGTGAAAGTACAACCTATAAACATAAGAAGTATTTTACCACAGTGAGGAGATTGTTATAGTAGTGATTAAAAGAACTTTTATCTCATCTTTGAAATTGCAAGGCTCTTTTAATTAATACCTACCAATCGAGCACAGTTATAACATATATTCCTGGCCTGTTAATTTGTATTCATTTTTAACAAGATGGTTCTGATTGTATTGCCTATTGACTTTAAGGCTGAGCAACAAGCTGCTTTAGAGGTATCAATCCTTTTTGTTCTGTGGCTTTGAGGAGACTGTAAACTTGCAGTAAATTGCTGGCTTTGGGGCATTTGGGGGAAAGAATGTAGTTATCAAAACTGCACAATATTTTAAATGTCAAATTTGAAGTCCTATAAAACTGGACCCAAGATTGTCTAGCCTGCACCAATAAATCCATAGAAGTTCCCAAGTGTTTTTCAAATAATTTTAAGAAGACCATCTTAGCTGAATGTATGTGAAAAATGAATGGGTAGTGGAAAGTATTGACACAAAGTTTAGAATTCTATGAAAGACTTACATGTTGAATATAACAACTGAGTCATATTCTCATCAATGCCTTCAGAATTCATTACTGCATTTTCTTTGGGGTCTTACAATTCTATCAATAACACTACATTACTTCCCTTAGGAATGTGGCTCAATGGAAGAGTGCTTGCCTGGCACCTATAAGATCCAGGGTTCAATCCAACACTACTGATCATAATAATACACTGTTTAGACTGTCTCCTAGCTCTCATATATAGAGAGAGGGCAGCAGCCTCTTCCATTGTAGCGTAATCTGTGTAAGCAAAGATTAGCTGTAATCCCAAAATGATGTTTCCTTTCTTAGAGGGAAATTCCACTTCATTCCAATTAGAGTTCACTGTACAGTTCCTAATACCCACTGCCACTGTTTTTGACCATTCAATATCCTATTACTATTAATTCATTTAAGAAATTCACTGCAACACTTTGTCAAATAGTAAGATGTATTCAGTCTTGCAAAATAGTGAATTATTAAATTGTTTATTTAGTAAAAAAAAAATTGGCAAAAGTTCTATGTAAATTATTTGCAGTAACTTAGTCTCTACCTCCAAGTTAGCAATTATTTTAAATTAATAATGTATGAAATATATTTCAGATATAAAGATATGTAAAATCCTGGAAAGAAATACAATTTAAAAAAAACTATGAAGTAAACATAATGATTTTTATTTAGAATAAAGGAGTAATTAAAATATAATGATCAATTACGTTTTTATTTTAAGCAAAAATATCTTCAGAGAATACCAGTTCCACACAGAGTGTCTATCCAAGCTTGTTAATGTACTGGAGGGGTAAGGAACTCTGAATTAAATGCCAAAAAAGGATTCAGATGTAAAACTGTACTTGAACTTGTTTGAATAATTTTGCATTTCTCTACTGTTTCATCTTTATGAATTATGCAAAGGCTTTTCCTTAAGCTTACATTTAAATGTATGATGAGTGATGATACTTGGGAAAAAAAGTGGTGAAGCATCTTGACATTTTAGGGTTATTATGGAATGTAGTGTGGGAAACAAAATAAAAAGAAATCATGTCATATATTTTTTGATGAAATCTCTTTACACGATGTGTAGTGACTTCATAATATTAGTGAGAAAAATATTCTAAAAGACTATTCCACAGAAAAGTATTGCTATTTTATTATGCTAATTATTTTTCTGTACATCCAAAGTGTATCTTCCTGAGTGGGACACTTGAGTCTGTTGTTCTGTCTAGATTGATGTCACATTTTTCAGGGCATTGAGCTTTAAATGTATTAAAATGTGATGCACGGTTTTACCAAGTTGCTTTTTGTTATATTACATTTAGTTTTATTTTGCAGCCAACAAACTCTCTAATCAATCATTAACCTATGAACCATATATGGTCTTCCTCATGTAACTGCAGATAATTTAATAAAAATTATAATAAAAACGAATGTTTTTTAAGACTGTGATTCTCTTTTTGTCTAATTATCTATAGAGAAATTCTATAAAAGAATTACATTAACTTATGTTTAAAAATCATACTATACTTCTCCCATTAGAAACTATTACATCTGGGGTTTTAAAGCCTAGGATATATCACTCAAGGAATATTGATAGCTGTCAGGGTGCTTCCTTTTTTTAATAACAAAGAATAAAAGACCTTGCATAAATGTCTAGCTTGAGAGCCCTTTCCCTAAAAATTGTTTATTGGCTAAATCATTTTCAGTTGATTTGCTCACAGACATTATTTCAAGATGGAGTTTTTGGTAATCTTTTATTTTTTTATCTTCAAATTTATCTTTCGCTTGTTCTTCACACAATGAGATTTGAGTGTCCTGGTAGTACGATGCTGGTAGTGCAATACAGACAGTACAATATCCAAAGACAGAAACGTTCACGTATCAGATCATTTAAAACTGTTATTGTGGGGTATAGGATTACAACACGTCTCTTATTGTTGCAGAACCTAAAATTTATTTTTAACAATGTTTTCCATGACCTTATAGATTTACTGCACAAGATTCAGTAAAATTTGTAGGTTGGAAATTCCTTGCTAAGTTGATACCTCTTTCCTCAATAAGTTGGTCTTCATTAACTGTTATAATGGCTCTCATCTTAATATCAGTAAAATCTCTTGAGTGAAACAGCCAGGGCATTGGGCAAAATCATCTCAAAGAATAAGGGCTAGAGGCATCTATCAATAAAATATATAAGCAAAAAACACAAATGAATTTTGATTATACTAACAACATAGAGAAATTTACTTGTGGACTAGGATTTTTCAAGTCAACTTTATTACTATAATTTAAAACCGCCATCATTATCCTGACTATATTTACCATTTTCATTAGCACCAAACATTTAGTTTGCTCATACTTTCTCTCAGTTGACTTTTGCCAACAATTGTTTCCTTCCATAATCAAATGACTTTTGAATTTTGTTTCCTCTTCATTATGCTCTATAAATCAGTGTGGCCAATTACTCATTCACGGCATCTTAAACCAGAATGAACGTATGGGTGTAGATCTGTGGTATGCTAGAAATACTTACCTATTTATAGTGTCTCCTGTTTGAAACCACACACTGTGCTATCCAGCTGGTTCTTGTCAACTACTCTACTAGCCTCTGAAAATTCACTCGAGTAAACCAAGCTAGCATGCTGTCTAGAAAACCGGCCCCATGTATAAACTAAAGCACTGAAGGTAAACTTCATCCAAGAATATTTACAACAGGAATAAACACTCCTCAGCATAAAACTGGGTTCCCTTCTGAGTATGACAAGGACAATTGGGGACTAGTGCATAGGCAGAGGTCAATGGGTAGAAAATTACCGAGGAAATATCAGTATCAGAGATAGTCTAGCCAAACTGACTCAGCCACATTCTTGATGAAGGCAGGGTGAAGGGAAAGATATGATGGGTGAGGAAATGAAGTTTTACCAGATATCAAGGGTAGTTGGATTTAAAACATAAATAACCTGCCAGAGTCCTTACTAAACATGAATTACATAATCCAAGAACAGATTATTAAGTTAGAGAGTACTCACAAAGGGTTCAGAGAAGAAAACGACAAAACTTTGGTCAAGGAAAGAGTTTTATGTCCCTCAGTGATCTGCTTATATGGTACAAGGTTTTGGTTTTTTTTTCTGAAAAATATGTTATCCACATAATGAATAACTAAAACTTGAATGCCATATACTCACCACTGAGCAGCGTTCTACTTCCTGATCTTGTAAACAAAACCTGTTCTCAAACCATTCATAATAGATTCATTTTTTCTATGTCAATGGCATGCTGCTTTTCTTTGAGGAAGGAAAGAAATATAAATTCTTCCAAATAAAATACTACAAAAATTGGATGGGTAGGGTATTATTGACACAAATTTACTCACCCATGCCTAAATAATCATTTATTTGTGTGGCTTGATCTCATTCTTATTTCTAAGAATCAAACACATATTGCAAATGCATGCACATATGTGTAGCCGGAAGGTTTCTCAGGTCCTGCTTGACCCCTCAGTCCTGCATTCTTCCTGTCCCAAGCAGCCCTGCGATCCCTCAGCTGCTTAAAAAATAATCATTCAGAGGCTTAATATTAATTACCAATTGTATGACCATGGTAGGCTTCTTGCTAGCTAGCTCTTGTAACTTAACCCATTTCTATTAATCTATAAATTGCCATATGACCTAGCATTACCAGTCTGCTGACATCTTGTTGCTTCCTTGGCAGCCACTAGAATCTCTCCTTCCTCTCCTTTCTTCTCTCCATGTAGTTGCTTGGATTTCCTGCCTGTCTCTAAGCTGCCTTGCCATAGGCCAATGCAGCTTTATTTATCAACCAATCAGAGCAACACATATTCACAGCATACAGAAAGACATCCCATAGCACGTATGTCTACATACTTAGGTAACACAGAGAAGGAGAGGGAGGCAAACTAGAGAATCAGAGAGAGCAAGATCATTACTTCATTTTCAAATTGACCTCACTTGAAACCTATATCCTGTGGACGTTGGTGCTTAAAATGGAAACATGTATTAAGAATCAAAGAAGATGGGATAAAAATAGCAAACAGAGTTCTTATATTGCCAACCTTTCTGACATAGAAAAAAAAAGAGCTCAAAGCTTAAGTTCTACGTGTCAAAAAGCTCCTTAAAATAGATGAAATCCCTTGAAAGATGTAACTGTATTCCATCATATTTTATTTCATAAATAGCAGATTCAATGTAAGAAGCATAACTGTTTTCATGTCTTGGTGCCTCTTTTGTCTTCTTATTGTTTTAAATTAAATACATATACTGTATTAGTCCATGCAAACCTCGATGAAACAGGAAGGCTCCTTCTACTTTCAGAAGCAAGGCAGAAAATAAAATAACATCTCAAGGAACTGCACAACACAGGAAAACAAAACAGAACAAAAATCCAAAGATATTTAATTTGCTTTTACTGCTAGGGCTTTCACAAGTAATCAATAGTCCCTGATCAAGACATAATTGTTTTATAAAATGATGGGATTTGAATTGATACTTTATCTAAAGCCAATCCAGTATTAGATTTGCATTTTTTTTCTTTCAAGGGCCAACAAAAACTACAAGAAGTGGTAGTAGAAACGTCCATGTAATTGACTTTAAATCACATCCTTCTTCATTTACTGATGTGGGATTAGTTGTTTGCAATAGCTTGTTTACACTGTGAAAGTTAAATAGTGAAAGATTGGAATGATTCATGAAGATGCTGTTATTTTAAGTGACAAAGAAATGTGCAGAAGAACATCATCTTCGAATAACTAACAGACATTGCAATATATTATAAAATCAAATATAAAGATGAATTAATGATGTGGTAGTATTTAATGTTGTTAATATAGTTCCACTAATTGCTCTGTTATTACCAACCACATCTGCCTTTCAATGCACTATATTCTACGTTCTTTTCTTAATTGAATTTATTACTTGTGTATGTATGTGTGCATGTGTGCATGTACACAGTCAAGAGCATGGGGAAATATGGTAGTATTTTATAGTAGTGTATGAGTGTTCAGAGGACTACTTTTAAGATTAAGTATCTCTTTCCATCATTGTTTCCAGGTCTTAAATTCATGACCTCAAACTTGTGGAGAAAGTACCTTTACTCACTAAGCCATTTCGCAAACCAATTTTATGTTCTTAAAATGTAAAATATTATGATCTCACATACACACTGTCATTGCATGTTTAAGCCCCCATGTTATCAAAATATTTGATTCTCATAATTCGGAACTATAAGGAGAATAAGAGCTGGTATTTTGTTGTCTATTGTAATGTTGTTATTTACTCTCTATGTTACTTAGTGAAGTGGCTGAAACTCCTGGAACATTTTAGCTAAGCGTTACAGCCACCAACTTGGTTCTTATTAAAAGGTTTTCACCACATCAGTAAATATTACAGGTAGTCATAAGATGTTTCCTACACCTGCACAACTTTAGCTTCAAGCAAGCAAGTCATCTGAAGTGTATGAAGAGCAATTTGCACATTTAGGATAGTAGATTTGCATATCTGTAATATGAAATTTTAGATCACATGCACAATATACCTAAAGTGACTACATTTGCAAATACAAAACACTGTTTTAATATCTTGCAAATTTACAAGGAACCTAAACCACAAGATGACTCAGTGGTATGGAAATGATAAATAACATTCAAAAAATCCAACAAGTCTAATTTCACTGATTACTGATGGCAGTGGTGTGCCATAAAGGACATATATTAAAGTAAAAAAAAATAACATATGCAATGAGTCAGATAATTCTACAGTGTTAACAATATTACTAAATAACAATGTTAACTAATGTTACTAAGTAATAGTTTTGGGTAGTAACCAACTTAAAGGTCTTGTTTTACAAGTAATAAAATGGAACCTAAAGAAATGAAACAATTTTGATCAATATTTGCAGTCACTAACTATTAATGTCAATATATATTCTTGATCTTCACATTGTAGTAAGAAGGATTAGAGACTATAAAATAATTTTAAAAAAACTTGAACATTTCCTATAGTATTGATTTACCATGAAGTATAAGAAAAATGTACAGTGAAAAATTTAAAGTTCAGAGAAGTGTAAATTATAAAAGAAAAAGAATCCCGATGGTTCAGTGGGAAATCTGCCAAGCCATTAATTTCTCTTCCAATTGCTTTTCAGTTCTGGTGTGCGTGTGTGTGTGTGTGTGTGTGTGTGTGTAATAAACTATGGTCAAGAAAATGTGCAAAGATCTGGTCACCTTGTGTAACCTAACATTAAACCATGTTCCACTTCTCTGTGCTTTATTCATGGTTTTCTAAAGTTGACCGATGCCAAAAATTGGAAACGCTAGATGAAGTTAACTTTACTTTAAAAGAGAAGTAGAATAAACAAAGATAATTCATATGTAGTTTCTCCAACATTCCAGCATGAGAAATTTTCATCTTAGAATATTGACTTAATTGG